GGAGGAAGAAGAGGATGAGGACGATGAGCAGAAATCGGATTCTGAAATGGATGAGGAGGATACCATCCAAACTAACATAGATGATGTGGATAATTTCAAACTCCCCTCTGCTGAGGAGAGTGAGGAGGGTGAGTCTGGTTTCTGTAAAATCTGACAACAAATCCAGAGAAAATGTTCTGCAACCGATCAAACCTTCATCTCCCTTTTTACAGGGGCCCTGTCTCTGGACCTGAAGACAGTCCATCAGAGAATAAAGGACAACATCGATGTCCTCTGTAATTTCTCAGCAAAAAGAGAGGAGGGCAAAGCCAGGGTGGAGTACCTCTCTCTCCTGAGGAAAGATCTCTGTACTTATTACAGCTACAACGAATTCCTCATTGAGAAATTAATGGATCTCTTTCCTCTCTCTGAGGTCTGTTTTTTTTTTTTCTCTAATAAACTAACAAATATTTGACTGACAGCTTGAAAAAAGTAATTAATTTCCTTTTGCAGCTTGTTGATTTCCTTGAAGCCAATGAAATCCAGAGACCAGTCACAATCCGAACTAACACGCTGAAAACAAGGAGGCGGGACCTTGCACAGGTAGCTGCTCTGACTGAATCACTCTATGGACATTCTGGGTGGATTATTAGCCTTGCTTTACACATGTGTTTTTGTAAGCTGTTGAGGATAGAAATTATCGTAATGTAACATTTTGTAAAAGATTAATATTTATGAAGGAAAGTAAGTCGAAGCCTCATATTTGTGCTAGCGTTCAATTTCAAACAAATGAGACAATTTTAACTAGATGAGTTTCTTTGTTGTCTTGTTTAGGCTTTGATCAACAGAGGGGTGAACCTGGACCCACTGGGGAAATGGTCCAAAGTGGGTCTGGTCATCTACGACTCATCGGTCCCTATCGGTACATTTCCCTTTCGCTGTTTTACATTTATTGAGGAAGGGTGTTGAAGAGCTTGGGTTGTGATTGTCCTGTTTTGCTTAAATTCAGGTGCAACCCCAGAGTATCTGGCCGGTCATTACATGCTGCAGGGAGCGTCCAGTTTTCTTCCTGTCATGGCGCTGTCTCCCCAGGAGGGGGAGCTGGTGTTGGACATGAGCTCTGCTCCAGGAGGAAAGACCTCCTATATTGGTAAGATGCGGTGTGTTTACTCTTACTCCTATCTGTAAATTATGTGTTAAAAATTTTAACTCGTTTTCCACATGTTTAGCTCAGCTGATGAGAAACACAGGAGTGATTGTAGCGAATGACGCCAATGCTGATAGACTGAAGAGTGTGGTTGGAAACCTTCATCGCCTCGGGGTCACAAACGCCGTGGTCTGCAACTATGATGGCAGGCAGTTCCCCAAGGTAACCTCATTTCATGTGTGCACACATAACATTTGTTTGGTTTTATTTAATGTTTCCTGAACTGAGTGGATGTTTGATGCAGGTCATGGGAGGTTTTGACAGAGTTCTGCTAGATGCTCCGTGTTCAGGTACAGGAGTCATTGCAAAAGATCCAGCTGTAAAGACCAGTAAGGTAAAAACTCCCCAAGTTATCTTTGTCTATTGCTCTCAGTAAGGTTTTAATTGTGAACTCATTTTCCTTCTAATCCTGCTTTTTCCAATCAGGACGAGGCAGATATCCTGCGCTCTGCTCATTTACAGAAGGAACTGATTTTATCAGCTATCGACTCTGTAAATGCTGCATCTTCTTCCGGAGGATACCTGATCTACTGCACATGCTCAATAATGGTATGTGTTTTCACAGGATGGGGTTTATCCATCACTGCGAATTAGCTGAAGTCTGATTAATGGTTGCAAGACAACTCAATGCAGTCACTGTAACATACTAAAATCAATTCATTCATAATTAATCAAGCCAATAATCCTTGAAATCATATGATATGAAAGATATTTTATGTCATATTAAGTACGCGTGTGGTCTGAGGATCTAAAGACAGTAAAGGTTATGTGACATGCTTGATTAAAACATTTCAAAGTCAACTTTAGGTGTGTATATGTTGATATATGACCTTTGCACTTTGTTCAGAGGATCTCCAAAGATGTTAAGATGTTTAACTTGGTGCACATTTAGATTGTGCACCGAAAACGGGAAATGTGAGTCACTCTGGGTGATTCTATACCATGTATTAAAAGTAGAAATTTTAAAGGTTAGGCTGATATTAATCAGTTTCTTTATATTTAGTGTGATCTCTTATGGAAATGCATCCATACCTGTTCAGGTGTTTTCATCAGGGGCGGTGGTGGCCTAGTGGTTAGAGTGGTGCACTTATGCTCTTAGAAGGTTGCAAAATACCCGGTTCTAAACCCGTGGCCTCCACTCTGGGTACTTGAGCAAGACCCTTTACCCCACACTGCTCCCCGGGTTCTTTACACCATCACCACATTCGCCCAATTGTACATTCGTAGACCGATACGCAGTTTGGTGGCCTCTTGGCGTGAAGTTTTTCATGGGGAGTGAAGTTTTTCATGGAAAGTGGCGGCCTAGTGGTTAGGGTATTAGTAATTAGAGGTTCTGAGTTCAAGCCCCACTCCCACAGACTGCCACTCTGGGTCCCTGAGCAAAGACCCTTAACCCAGGGTGCTGCACAATGGCAGCCCACTGCTCCCCACGTCGATGGGTTAAATGCTGAGAGAGAATTTCCACATTTTGGGATAATAAAAGGATTTACAAATTAGTTTATTTACAAAATTTAAAATTAAATGTCTAATTAGGAAATGACTAAACGCATCATGCTTGACATAAAAATAGTTTAGAAATAGGTAATGAATTAACACAGATATAAAGCATCACCAGCTGCTGTGTGTGCTGTATGCAATGATTTGGAATGATCGGAAAATATTTTTTATCAGTAACTGTTGATCTAAGAATTTCTTTTAGGCCACAGCTACAATTTATTTATTTTTTTGATTAACAATTTCTCAAACACAAATGCATCTACAAAATGTCTCGATTGGGACAGAATAAAAGCTTTGATATTACTGGGAAAAAAAATAAACAATTGTTTTATAGATTTTGATGGTACAATTGAAGGTTGGAACGAGAGAACCAGTGGCCAGAAAATTATTTAAATTTGCCATTTATATGTCTTAGCTTATTTTTCCTCATTTAATTTGTGTGGATGTCCTAATTTAAGCTCTGATTGTCTTCTACCAGGTGGAGGAGAATGAGTGGGTGGTGGATTATGCCTTGAAGAAAAGGAATGTCAAATTAGTCCCAACAGGACTTGATTTTGGAAAGGAAGGCTTCACCAGGTACTGAAAGTTAACTATATGTTCTCATAAAGACTAAACATGGATTACTAAACAGAAAAACTTTCTATATCGTCCTTAGTTTCAAGAAATATAGATTCCATCCCTCCCTGAAACTCACACGCCGTTTTTACCCACATTCCCACAACATGGATGGATTTTTTGTGGCCAAATTTAAGAAGTTCTCCAATGTGATCCCATCTGCTTCAGCTGGGAAAGGTAACTCTTCCTAAAATCTCCATCTGGATTATGAATTGTTACCCTGTTTAGTGTTATGATGTAACTCTCTGGTGGTCATTGCAGAAGATGAGAAGACGGAAGCTTCTGAGGCGACTGAAGTTACAGAGTCTCCAAAAGAAACGGTGCCCAAAAACAAGACGGTTAAGGATGCTCCAGCAAAGACGAATGCCCAAAAGAAAAATGCCAAAACTAATGGGGCAGCAGCTAAGAAACAAAACATCAAGACTAAAGGACAGCAGGACTCTCAGACTGGGCCCAAGAAGGCAAAGATCGCCAAAATGGGTGGAGAGCCTGTAAAGGGGGACCAGGTGAAGAAAGGCACAGTGGAGAAGCCTGCGATGAAGAGCCCTGATCAGACAAAGGAATCAAAAACTGTCAAAAAAGATGGAAGCAGATTTGAGAAAAAGCAAACCAAAATAGGGAAAACGCCCTTGAAGATGAAGAACAGAATGGGAAAGAATACATTCAAGAAGATGAAACACAAGTGGCCTAAAAACAAATAAAGGCTGGGATGTGAACATTGAAACCTTGTAGGGCCATATTAAAGACCTGACTCTATTTCTCTACATTTAAATAATGTTTGGGTCAATGTGTTCCAGTGTTTTAGACCCATATGTGTTAAATATGACATGGCTGTACGATGATGAATTTGATTCACTTTTTGTTTTTTATCAGATATATAGTGATTGTAGGTTTTCTGGAGGTGAGAACAACTCCCATATCCAATTAAATAATATTTTAAGACGTTATTTTCTCCCATTCTGTTCACTGGTTGTTATTGGATTCGATTTTTCATCTTAAAGGTAATTAATTCCAACAGTAGAAAGCTAGTTTTAAATCACTTAAATGAATAGAACAATTTTAGACCAAAATACATTTAAACATTTCTGTTAATTGAATAATAAAAAAAACTGCTGTTTTTTTGTCCATCTGCAGCATATGACATTTATAGATTGAAGGAAGTAGATGGAATACATTTTTGATATTTCAAACAACGGTTGTTTTTTATTATTAGTTTGTATAACATCAAAGGTAATCATTACCATGCATAAATCTATTGGTGTTCATGAAGTTATTCCTGAGTTGCTTAAAGGATTTGAGGGAATTTAGCTGCAGCTTTGGATGTGCAAGCGCAGAGAAACATGTTTTTAAAGGAATATAACTTTATTTGAGATTTAGTTTACCATAATGAGGAAATGTACCTAAAGCTTGATGGTTTTTATATCAAGTTGTTTAATTTAAATGGCTTTCTGCAGCTTCTTTGCTGATGAATCATTTGATGAAAAACTAAAGTGCAAACAAAATCCACTTTACCTACTTTAATAAGAACAGTATCTCTACACTAGAAATGCATCAGTTCAAATGGTTTAGGTCTACGAAATAAACTGTTCTTCAGTTACAAAATAATTTGAACCGGGGAGCACAAATGATAAACCAGTTTAGGGGCCAACGCAATCTATGGCCAGTATTGTTTATATGTTAGAAGAAGAGGGGCTTTGTTTCTATTTAATTTAAGGTGATATGTGAATACTTTAGACATAAAGGCAAAGTTTCTCTCCTAAAAACCCCCGTTTGGTCCTTTTCCAAACGGAAGCTGCGTTGTTTACCCTTTCCAAGATGGCGGCGGGCATGTATCTGGAGCATTATTTGGACAGTAAGCTATAAATACGGCTTTAAACCATCTTCTACATGCTTAGCATAATTTAGTCAACACATGCTTTGTATATAATTATAATTTATAGCGCGTGTCTGGTTTTACATGGAATTGAACCCCATAACGTTTCCACAACGGTCAGTCCGTTTGGGCCCTGTCTATTTCCTGGAGAAGCGCCTTGCAGCGCGGCTAAAATGATGCTGCAATAGTTCCTTAACCACACAGGCAGTTCTTCAATACTATATGCATTTCAAACTATCTAAATCCACACACACAGCTATATGTGTTATGTTCGTTGAATAAACTCAAAAATAAATGCATTTCATGTCCAACACTTGGCTGGCTATCGCTCGCATCATTTTCTTTGATTATCAATGATGCTGCGATTAAACATGTCGGGTTTTTTCCATCTTCATCCATTCAGGTATAGAAAACCTTCCCTTCGAGCTGCAGAGGAACTTTAATTTGATGAGAGATCTCGATCAACGCACAGAGGGTGAGACTGATCTGCAGTGAAACCAATTTAATGCGAAAACAGGCAGAATCCATGAAGTAAAAGTCGCCTTTAATCACAAAATCCATTGAATAGTGGATTACATATTAAAAATGTAAAATTCCATTTTAGTGAATTTATCATAGTCAGCACTGTCCATTTTTATTGTTTTTGTAAAAACTTTTTTTAGGTCCCATCAGGGATAAGTGCTAATAAACTTGATTTTTGTTCTTCTTTTGTTACAACTAATTTAAATCAATTTTGTTAATTGAAGATCTGGAGTTTCGTAGTTTTCAATTTCCTTGAAGCTTTACATATTTGATTAGAGCAAAAAAGCAAATCAACCTTTTGTTTTAAGATGTATGTTTTCTTAACCAAAAAAATGACATTTAAAAAAAAAAATGTCGCTCAAATTTGTCATTAGTTCTTACTATTTTTCAACAAAAATAAATGCACTGCAGAGATTTATCAATTTTTTCCCTCAGAACTTTAGAACAAGATATTGACGAAGGCAAATATGGTCTGATTATTTTTTCTTTTGTTTTTTATATCAGTACAGCCAACAGAAAATGAATGATTAATGAAAGCAAAGCATCAAAAAAATTCCTGATCTTAAATCCAGTTGAGATTTTGTGACATTTGCCATTTTATAAACATAACCTCACAAATATACCTACTTTCTGATGTGTAAGGCTGGGAGAAACCTACTGTAATCCAAAATCCCTCTAGGATGGAGGTTTGATTGCAGCAAAAGGGGGTTTCACAAAATATTGATTCAGAGACTAAATAACAATTCACATCATGCTTGTTTTATTTATACAAAGAATTGAAACAAGTTTTACACTTTTTTTATTATTGAAATTATAATTTCTTTTCCCCAAAACAATTTTATTAATTTATTTCTGTGTAACAAATGGCATTCTTAATGACCATTAGATGCATTTTAGATATAAATGTTGAAAAATATAACTTAAAATATATCTTTATTTCATTTAGACTTAAAAGGACAGATTGACTCTCTGGCTAAAGAATACACGTCTAACGCCCGGACTCTGTCATCTGAGCAAAAACTGTCCCTACTGAGGCAGATTCAGCAGTCCTACAGCAAATGCAAGGAGTTTGGCGATGATAAGGTGCAGCTGGCTATGCAGACCTATGAAATGGTTGGTACATCTTTAAATGAAAGAAAAAAAAATTGAAATTATACATCAGAAATCAGCTTGCTGAAGAGATACCTTTTTTGTGTCAGGTCGACAAACACATCCGCCGCCTTGACACAGACCTGGCTCGATTTGAAGCTGATCTGAAAGAAAAACAGATTGAGAGCACTGACTATGATTCCACCTCCAGTAAAGGAAAGAAAGGTCCGTATGTGTCCTTTGTATTCACTCCTTTTTAGTGTGTGTGTTGATGACTGGAAGAGTTTTGTAACATGTGTGCGATTTCAGGAGAATCCAGACAGAAGGAGAAGAAGGCTGCTAAGACGAGATCTAAAGTGAAGAGCTCAGATGAAGATGGAAGTCCCAAGAGTGCGCAGAAGAAAGTCAAACTTTTTCAGCAGTATGTTTTATATCTGCTGCTATCCTTGTGTATGGGTTTTGTGTTTCAAACCCAAAAGAAAACTCATTTGATGTTTTCTCTCCATCCCATTAGAGGGGAATTCAACAGCCCTTCGTCCAACTTTGGCAACGTTCATCCATCCGATGTGCTGGACATGCCTGTGGACCCAAATGAACCCACCTACTGTTTGTGCCATCAGGTCTCCTATGGCGAGATGATTGGCTGTGACAACACCGATGTGAGTTTGGTTTAATCTATGAACAAAACTAAAGTCTCTGCATCGATTTTTATTTGAAACAGATGTTAACCCATTAGGAACTTATTTGACACATGCTTGTGTGTCGTGTGTAGTTTTGTCTAAGATTAGAAAAATGCAAATAGCTCAGATGAATTAAAGACTTGTAGTTTATGAAATATTCAATAACCTTTTGCCCCCCTTCAATTGTATTTCCTACAATACTTTAGGGCTGCAACAACGAATCGATAAAATCGATAAAAATCGACTTTTAAAAGCGTTGGCAATGAATTTCATCATCGATTAGTTGTGTTGCGCGATTAATGCGTTATCCCCCGCGCCGTCATCACTGCCTCTTGACTGAAAGAGGAAGAGAAAAAAAATACGGCAGAGCGAGCCAGCGCCGCAGGTGCAGTGTTGCCAACTCAGCGACTTTTCAGACCCCTCCAGCGACTATTTTTCAAAAAAGCGACTAGCGACAAATCTGGCGACTTTTTTCGGTGTCACTGGCGGCTTTTGGAGACTCTTACGTGAAAGCATGTATCGTTCCTACTCTGCCGTGGGGCGCCTCCCCCACCCCAACCGCGTTTTCCCGCAGGAGTCCCTCTCAGCGCTGCAGTCAGAGCCTCAGCGTCCAGACTGCAAATGAAGCGCGCATGCACCGGGATTGACGGCGCAAATTGATCACAATAATTAAAATAGCCTGCGCTTTGTAAAGTGAAAAAAGTGATAACATGCAACTTTTGTCAAAAGAAATTAACATGGCACGGAACCACCCTGTTTGTTTGGTTTTAAAGTGGGGAAACGTAACGTTAGTTTCTCAGGTAGCTCATCTGATGCTTTCCTTACCGTGTTAGTAGGTTACAGACAGTGATAAGGTTGGCTACTTATTTTACCTTTAATTTCATTTGAATTAGCTTAAGCAGCGTTTACATTTACTTTATAAATAAATTAACTTGCAAATTATGAGGGCAAGGCTTTTAAAGTTTAAATCTTCTGGCAAAGATAAAGTAAAGAAGATCCTGCAATTTATGGAAGTAAAGCAGAACAAAATCCAGCAAGATCAGTAATATGTCAATTAATTATATGCCACATTCCCATGTAAATTGGAGTCTTTAGAGGATGTGTTTTTTTAGCACCCCTAGTTCTCTCATTTTTATTCCAAATACAATTTATAATTTGAATCACAGGGCTATTTTTATCTCTATGGTTCAGTATTTTCTCAAGTAGCAACTTTAACTGCTATACTTTCCTGTCTTAAAAGGCAGAACTCTTCTAGTCTAAAAAAACTCTTTTTTTGCGCTTTATGAAACAAAGTACCCTATATTTTGTGGATGTACAGCTACATTTCTCATGTAAGTTTGCGTAGTTTTAACACAAACATTTATTTTTCATATTGCACCAGTACAGTTAATGAGCAACCTGTACTTGTGTGCTTGTTTGTTCTGTCTAAAATGTTTATTTTGGAATAAAGAGGTTAATATAAAAAATATTTTTTGTCCGATTCATCGATTAATCGAAAAAATAATCGTCCGATTCATCGATTTTTAAAATAATCGTTAGTTGCAGCCCTACAATACTTACAGTTCATACATATATATTGTAGCTACAGTGGCTGATATGATGTGACCAAAAAACTAAAGTGAAAAATTGTGGTTGTGTAATACTGTGTTCAGACCGTATGGGTTTAGAGCATCAAAGAGACCAACGCCTCAACTTGGATGCTTTTGCACATAGCAGTGAGACTCTTATTAAAGAAAGGATGCACAGATGCCTCTGACGCGTTGGAAGGAGCTTCCTTTGCTGAATTTTTATGTTCGACGATAGATGCAGTCGTGGCATTGCTTTATTTGATGTGATGAGTGAGGGGAAAAAAGTCATTCTTTAGCAAGAAAGTACACCTCAAAATATTATTGATGCAAGTTGGTTCATCATTGAAGTATTCTATTATCCTGAGCCATAGACCCCAGCATATCAGCTGGCAGTAGCACAAGGAATCCCAAATGAGAGCCCCCTCCAACCGGCTAGGTTCTCTGTGATTTCCTGTTGCCATTCATAACAACAGAAAGTGAACATAAAGCTCTTTTTATGTATACGGTAAAAGCTGCAAGTACCAGAATATAAAACTGAAAATTTTTGGCCTGCAAGTTTTAAAGCTACAGTGTGTAATAATTACAGGGATATACAGTCAGAAATGTAATATATTATACATAACTATGTTATTTTATCATCATCTACGAGCTCAGCCTCTTAACCTTAATATTTGCGTTGCCTTAGAATTCGTTATTTATAATTACATAGGAGCGGGTCTCGCAGCCATGGAGGCAGACATCTTTGCGCTACGGCAGCGCAGAGCCAACAAACTAGCGATTGCGAGATCGCCAAAACGTCACAACGATGTAGAAAAAATAACGGGTATATTTATTATCTTAAGTCTACATGAAATCAATACCCTACACAGACTAATGAAATACTATCTGTAAAATTATCGATGTAAATAAACCTCATCACTTGAGAAGGTAGGTGATGCAGACGTCGTGGAAGACATTTTGTCCCGTAACGCTCGCCGTACTGTTGGGGGGGGGGGGGGGGGGGGGGGGGGGGGGGTAGAAGTGGTGGGGGGGAGATGTTCATGTTGCTGCAGTCTGCAGTCTGACCGCTAGATGTCGCTAAAAGTTACACACTGTAGCTTTAAGATTTCAGGTTAATGGAGGTATTAATTTAAAACGGTTTTAAACCAGTTGAGAAAATATTTAAGTTCCAATGATCAGACTCTCATGCTACGTTCACACCTAAAGCAATATTAAGCTTCTGCTGCTTCAGTTAATTTTTAATGCTTGTCAACATTAAGGTCAAATGTCCAGTAAGGTGTGTACAGGTGCCTCTGATGCTTGTGGTCTTGCGTTCAATGCCAGACTTTGCTACATTTGCTTTGATAAGTGGGTAAAAAGTAGTTTCACTATATTTTTATGTGAGAAAGTACCCCTCAAAACATTGTTTGTGCAGTCAGTGCATCAAGATTACCATCCTGCCTTAAAACATTATTGCGCTGTTGGAGCTGCACAGATCGCTACATACTGGCGGTTCACTCTCACTGGGAATCCAGCTGCAGCTGCGGGGTTCTGCTACTGTTTGGGGCAACTGGAAGTAGATATTAACGTTTTTTCACAAACTGCAGGTACCAGGATAATAAAAGCGAATATATCTTACAGCATTTTGAATCTGCTTTTAACTACAGTTTGTAAACTTTCCTGATAGTAAAGAATTACAACAATCGAGCGTTGAAGTAACAAATGGATGGACTATTTTCTCAGCATCACCCCTGGACAGGATATTTCTAATTTTTGCAATATTCTGCAGATGAAAGAATGGAATTCTAGAAACCTCTTTCAAATGGGATTTAGATGACAAGTCCTGATCAAAAATAACACCAAGGTATTTTACTTTATTATCTGAAATCAGTTTACAGGTGCTGGTCATAAAATTAGAATATCATGAAAAAGTAGATTGATTTCAGTAATTCCATTTAAAAAGTGAAACTTGTATATTATATTCATACATTACATACAAACTCATATATTTCAGATGTTTATTTTGTTTAATTTTGATGATTACAAATGACAACAAATGAAAATCTCAAATTCATCATATCAGAAAATTAGAATATTACCGAAGACCAATAAAAACAAAGGATTTATAGAAATGTTGGCCAACTGAAAAGTATGAACATGAAAAGTATGAGCATGTACAGCACTCAGTATTTAGTTGGGCCTCCTTTGGCCTGTATTACTGCAGCAATGCGGCGTGGCATGGAGTCGATCAGTCTGTGGCACTGCTCAGGCGTTATGATAGCCCAGGTTGCTCTAATAGTGGCTTTTAGCTCTTCTGAATTGTTGGGTCTGGTGTATTGCATCTTCTTCTTCACAATACCCCATAGATTTTCTATGGGGTTAAGGTCAGGAGAGTTTGCTGGCCAATTAAGAACAGGGATACCATGGTCCTTCAACCAGGTACTGGTAGCTTTGGCACTGTGTGCAGGTGCCAAGTCCTGTTGGAAAATGAAATCTGCATCTCCAAAAAGTTGGTCAGCTGCAGGAAGCATGAAGTGCTCTAAAACTTCCTGGTATGTGGCTGCGTTGACCCTGGACCTCAGAAAACACAATGGACCAACACCAGCAGATGACATGGCACCCCAAACCATCACTGACTGTGGAAACTTTACACTGGACTTCAAGCAACGTGGATGAAGTGCCTCTCTTCTTTTCCTCCAGACTCTGGGACCTTGATTTCCAAAGGAAATGCAAAATTTACTTTCATCAGAGAACATGACTTTGGACCACTCACCAGCAGTCCAGTCCTGTTTCTCTTTAGCCCAGGCAAGACGCTTCTGACGCTGTCTGTGGTTCAAGAGTGGCTTGACACAAGGAATGCGACAGCAGAAACCCATGTCTTTCATACGTCTGTGTGTGGTGGTTCTTGAAGCACTCACTCCAGCTGCAGTCCACTCTTTGTGAATCTCCCCCACATTTTTGAATGGGTTTTGTTTCACAATCCTCTCCAGGGTGCGGTTATCTCTCTTGCTTGTACACTTTTTTCGACCACATCTTTTCCTTCCCTTCGCCTCTCTATTAATGTGCTTGGACACTGAGCTCTGTGAACAGCCAGCCTCTTTAGCGATGACCTTTTGTGTCTTGCCCTCCTTGTGCAAGGTGTCGATGGTCGTCTTTTGGACAACTGTCAAGTCAGCAGTCTTCCCCATGATTGTGTAGCCTATAGAACTAGACTGAAAGACCATTTAAAGGCTTTTGCAGGTGGTTTGAGTTAATTAGCTGATTAGAGTGTGGCACCAGGGGCCATCAATTTTGAACCTTTTCACAATATTCTAATTTTCTGATATGATGAATTTGAGATTTTCATTTGTTGTCATTTGTAATCATCAAAATTAAACAAAATAAACATCTGAAATATATGAGTTTGTATGTAATGTATGAATATAATATACAAGTTTCACTTTTTAAATGGAATTACTGAAATCAATCTACTTTTTCATGATATTCTAATTTTATGACCAGCACCTGTAATCCCATCCAAATGAAGTGACTGACTAATCAGCTTCTTTTTCAAAGACTCTGGTCCAAATACTATAACTTCTGTTTTTTCTGCATTCAGGAGCAGAAAGTTAAGAGTCATCCAGGTTTTTATGTCTTCAAGACATGCCTGTAATCTATGTAATGGGTTAGCTTCATCTGGATTTATAGACAGATATAGCTGGGTATCATCAGCATAACAGTGGAAATTAATCCCATGCTGTCTAATAACTCTACCAACTTGGATCTTATATATAGCAAAGATAATTGGTCCTAGCACTGATCCCTGTGGTACTCCACAGGTAACCCTGGAGCATGGGGAAGATTTGTCATTAATGTGAACGAACTGAAATCAATCAAATAGCTAAGATTTAAACCAGTCTAGTGCTGTTCCTTTAATTCCTACAAAAATATTCAAGTCTTTCTGAAAGAATATTATGATCAACTGTATAAAATGCAGCACTGAGATCTAACAGGACAAGTAAAGATACAAGTCCATTATCTGAGGCCATGGGAATATCATTAGTGACTTTCACCAGAGCTGTTTCAGTGCTATGATGATCTCTATAGCCAGACTGAAACTCTTCAAAAAGGTCATCATTGTGTAAGTGGTAGCACACTTGTTTTGGCAACTACTTTCTCAAGAATTTTAGGTTAGAAAGAAAGATAGGTCAATAATTGACCAAGTCATGTGGGTCAAGAGACAGTTTCTTAAGTAAAGGTTTAATTACAGCAACGTTAAAAGCCTTTGGTACATATCCTTGTAACAGAGATAGATTAATCACATCTAAAATGGAGGATGAGATCAAAGGAAATACTTCCTTAAATAAACTACATACAAGTTGTAGGCTTAGATGAAGACAACAGATTTTTTTAAGTCTGAAAGTTCAACTTGATCAAAGCAGTCTGAACCTGGTTAATATTCTATGGCTACCTCAGATACTGCCTCGCCTTCCAGAGATAAACCAGTAGTAGTTAGAGGAGTGCTAAGGATCTTATTTTTAATAAGATCAACCTTTTTTTAAAGAATCCCATCAAATCATTACTGCTAAGGGCAGGTAGGATGGACGGTTCAACAGAGCTATGGCTCTGGGTGAGTTTGGCAACTGTATTAAAAAGATATCTAGGATTATTCTTATTCTCCTTTCACTAATGAGGACAAATAGGCTGCTCTAGCTTTACAAAGGGTCCCCTTATACATCAGTAAACTATGATTATCCTAGCCTTTTATGTAAATGCAGTGCAGTGTAACCCTATTATAAATACGTTTATTTATTTTTCATGGTTTTATGCTAGCACTGCTGCAGGAGGAGTGATAACGGCTTGGATCAAGTGACTATCTCTCAGCCAGCTCCCAGCCAGTGGAGGACAAATTCAGATTTCCTAGCTTTGGCGTCTGCCGCTTTGGGTTTGCGTCAGCATTCAACTCAAAAACAAGCTTCACCTGATGTGAAGATATCCAGTGATAATGCGGTTAACACCATAGACTTTGCATGTAAACTGGCTGTCTGTGAAAATACACGGATTTGAATGAAATATACGTAACAGCCTTAAACTAATTCTTGGTTGAATCACATTTTGACCTGCCGTATTGGATTTTAATCTATCAGGAAGGAGCATCTTGACTAGGCATTAATCGCCCACTCTCCTTTGCAAAAATACTCAGCCAAAAACATCTATTTACTGCCACATTTTGATTGTCAGACATGCTGAAAGTATGCAAACAATGGAATTCTGCAGCGAAGTAAATTATATGCAACAACAGTAGCCACATGCTAACAACATATGAGGGTATCCTGCTGTGTATTTGTCTTTAGGAAACTCCTCACCCAGTACTCCTAGTATGCTTCCCCAGTGATTGCTTTTAAACCAAATAAACCTGGTCACATAGAATGCATTTAAAAAAGGATTTATTGAGATCTAAACTTGACTTGAGGATTACATTTTATTGTTAAGACCATAACAGTGCACAAGTTTAGAAAAGGAATTTACATCTTGTGTATAATAAAAAAATTATTCTGTAAGTTTGTTCTAAATTTGCTCTGATATTTTGAAAAACATGAAAAAAGGTTTTATGCATGCATCTCAACATAGAAAGGACTGAGCTAGAAAACACTGCTAAAGGTGGTGTTATATGTTTGGGTTTAGTAGGTTACTTTAAATCATGGCTCTAAAGTAATCTCAGTTTCATTATAGTGGTTAATTACGAAAACACAGACAGGGGTACACATTTCTGCAACCACAGTGTTTTAAGTTTTTATTTAGATAATAAAAACTGGAAATCAAACAGGCATGTATATACTTTTCATGTCTGATATATTTATTGGATGCAAATATATTTTTAAGTATTTTAAGTTGTTAAGGCCTATGCCATATCCTTATAAAAATACAACTTTGAACTTTCAGTTCTTCACTGCATCTTTTGAAAAGCTTGGTTTAGTCCAATTGTTTGGTCTGTGCTCGAGTAAAAGTATTTTAATTTCCTTTTCAGTGCTCCATCGAGTGGTTCCATTTTGCATGTGTGGGCTTAACAACCAAACCACGGGGAAAATGGTGAGGAAAATCAATTTGTCATCACTGTGTGTAGCAGAAATGTTTTAGAGTTCATACAGGTGACCTTAACTACATTTATTCTCCTTCTGCAGGTACTGCCCACGCTGCTCTCAAGACAGAAAGAGAAAGTGATTCAACTGGTCACTGTGGACCAAAATAAAGATCCATTGAATGGAACATGAAAAAAAGTTTTGTTAATACATCTTTAGCTTCACATTTATGTTTGACATTTGGTGCTTTTTACTTTTTGTTTTACATCCTTGCCTTGGTCTGATGCGTGTGAAGGAGCCAGGTGGTTACAAACGTATTTAATTTTTGTTTTAATAGAAAATGTTTTTTTGTTTTTTTTTTCATTTAGCTATCTTTGGTGCTCTTTTTGTGACTTTTTCATTTATTTTGTCCACATTACTAATATACACTACAGCTGGCCCTTTTGATTTTGTAGTTGTAACATGAAACAATACTGTATTCACATGATGTTCACACATACAAGAAAAAAACTTTCTACATATTCTTAATGAAATGAACCTGAAATGTTTTTTTTTATTGTTATATTTCCCTTATTTGAAATTAAAACACTATTTTTAGAAGAAAAAGATAAAGATTTGTGACAGCATTAGATGTATGTCGTAGTGACATAGGCCATTTTCATTTAACTTTTTTTTTTATTTCAGTGCTGCATAGAACTTAAAGACATTTCTTGAAGAGTATTTTTATTTCTGTAGCTGAAATATTGGTGCCGGGTTGAGGGGATGATGGGGCTGTCAATCATTTCAATACAGCTACTACCTCAAAAAAACATTCCTCTGGTCTCTGTCTTTTTTTCACGGCAATCACTTCGCGCTGCACTGTGTGTAGTTGACCAGTAGGTGGCGGTGTGTATTCAGGATTCATATACGCCGGGATGGCGTCATAGTTTCATTTCTTTGGCGCGCGGTCGCAGTAAATTTGAAAAGCTACTTACAGAAACCGTTTACGGAGGCTTTGTGAACAGGACGCAGAAACAGTGGGTTACTTTTAATATTAGGACCGAAGTTGCTCCTTAACGCCGGTAATGTATCTGATTTGACCTTGTGAAACCTGTAGAACCGAGTTTTCTGATATTTTTTCCACTTGGAAAATATTGTAGACTAGCGGGTTTATAGCGAACAGTTAGCTTATTAGCTTCGGTAGCATTGGTAGCTTGTTGCACTGACAACAGCATATTGTTACTGTTGAGGGTACATGACTACATTTTACTTTGTATTTAATTTACTTGAAAGCATTTCCTATATTTCTTACCAGTGCTGATAGTTTAACTTCTACACTTAGTATTTCACATATTTTGACCTGTTTGCTACGTTGTTAGTTGTAAATCTTTTTTTTTTTTTTTTTTTGCTTGTGACTTGGCTAAGGTTTTGATAAACTTAATATGAGCTGTCTTTGTCTCGCAGAGATGTCGTGGGACTTTTTAGTACCTGTGTGTGTTGGAGATCTGGTTAAAACGGGAGGTATAAACCAGTATGTGGTTAGAGATGTGGTTCCAGCAAAACAACTACCATCCCACCTTACTAGTAAGTGGTAGTTTTTTGTGCTCTTGTTTGATTTTCTGTTCTTAGATGCCATACTCTCTTAATCATTGTGATCACAGTTAAATGATTAGTTCTGACAACCAAATAGTTCTGGTTCCTTCGTTACTTTCTCTTTACAGATGCAGGAGAAAAGAAATACGATTCCATATATTTGCCCTATTCCCTAGAAAATACTTTGTCTAGAGCCATTTGTATTACCGTTTAGAAGAGCTATGATGTATCTTGTTTGCAGTATAAATGAGGGAAAAGATAAATAGAAAATTCTTAAATACTCTTTAATTGCTTCTGATATTTTGACCTCTAAACAATTAACATAAAGGTAGCATATACATTTTAATATATATTTTTAATGAGTCATTTTTATCTACTTTTAACATTTTATTCTCCATTCCTGTTTTTATTTTTAGATGATTATTTTTTTACATTTATGCTTTCATCTTTTAAATATTCTAAATATAAAAGTAAAATTTTTTTCATTTTTACCTTAGAATTCAAGGCGGCCCTTAGGAGCCAGGGGCCATCATGTATATTGGAACATTTTGACACAGGCTACAGTGTGCTACAGTAAGTCTTCTTATTTTTCTAATTATTTCTAACAATAACTGAGGTACAAAGCTTAGTCTCTCTTTTGTTTGTAGGCATTTTAATTCGTTGGAACTCGGGTTAAAAGAGGATACCCTGGAATTGCTTATTCAAGGTTAGATTTTTACATGCACATGAATTAAACATGCTTAAAAATTGACATTCTCGTCGTGATTTACTTATTTTTAACTGGTTTCTCTTTCAGTGGTTAATGGCCTGGCTGTGTCCCTGCCTTCAGTTCTCAACTCCACATCCTTCTCAGCTGCAGAGCGCAAGGAAAAACTAAATGCTGTTAAAATGAGTGTCTTCCTGCTTTGTAAACTCACCGAGAGTCTTGAAAGTCTCTCCTATAGACAGAATATCATCACAGCTCCTGGAAAGGTGAAGTTATCAGTGGCTTAGATAAATGTTTTTAATTTTTCTGCATGTGAAAATATCCTGTGATGAGACGTTGGCATTATTTATGATCTGGTCAGACCTAGAAACTGTGGCTTTTAATCAGATGTTTGGTGGGTAATCTTGGTAGTGTGATTGAGTTTTATTACACTGCTGTAAGGGCTCACCTATATTAAATCTGCCACCTTCTACCACCTCTATCCCATGGTGAGACATTTTGTGGGATTTGTAGAAGATGTCAAAACACTGTGTGTGGTTTCTTGTTTGTTGTGTGAATGTTTTTGTATCAGCTGGTAAAAAGCTATTGTCTCTACAGTTGGTTTGACAGATATGAACTTCATCTTTGGTAATCTGAGGATATATATTGAATGGTGTGTTGATATGCTGTTTTATCTCCCAGTTTTTAGGTGTTTAACTTATTTTGAATTTAAAGACTTTGCTTTCTTTGTGTACAACAGGGCAGTAAAAAAGGTAAAGGTAGTAAAGAAGGCCTGCTGCAGTGGGATTCTGAAAGAGAAAGTGTGCTGCAGGCTCTGGTCCAGCTCCTTCAGCTGGATATCCGCTCTCTTTGGAGCCTTTCCCTTGTGGAGGAGGAATTTATCAGGTATTTTGCTCTTAGTTTAGCTCTGGGCTAAGCACAAGTACTTATTTACCTTAGTAGCATATTTTTTGCCTCTTTGTGTCCTTATCAATAACCACAAAGGAATTTATATCTAGGATCAATTTGGAACTGTCAAGTTGCTTTTTGTTATGTGTACGTTGTCCAAAAGTAAATAGTTCACACAAGTCGTTTGTTCCTAGTGTCTAGTAGGTGTTTCTCTTTGATATTTTTTTTCTTAATAATTTTTCCTAATTTCTTTGATTGTTTTTATTTTTTTGTTAACACAGAAGATAAACGCAAATGATTAACTATGTCTTGAATTCCTCCCAGCTGTGTGACCTGTTGCTTCTACAAGTTACTGGAGAACCCAACTATCAGTCACGTCAAGAACAAACCCACAAGAGATAATATAACTCACCTTCTTGGGGTACTGATCTCCAAATACAACCACCTCTTAGGTTTGTGTCCAACTGTATGGATTCTTGTGAATGCAGTTTATAAACACAACAGTTTGCTTTTATTTTTTATATTCTATTTTTTCTATTAAACCTTTCCTTATCTAAATTCTTCAGGTGCCAGTGTGAAAGTCATTCAGATGCTGCAACACTTTGAGCAGCTGTCCTCTGTGTTTGCACAAGCTGTGTCTGTGTGGAGCACAGAGTATGGAGTCCGAGCAGTTATTGGAGAAGTGATCAGGTCTGTAGATTCTTGTGAAGCTTATGATCTCCAATTTAATTAAAATGTTTAATAAATGTTTTTTTTTCTTCTTTTTTTTTTCCTTTCAGGGAAATCGGTCAGAAGTCAAGCGAAGAGCTTGCCCGAGAGGGTTCAGGTGTCAAAGCATTTTCCTCTTTTCTCTCAGAACTCAGTGGCCTTGTACCTGCATTAATGATACCCAACATTAGTGTCCTCATCACCCACCTGGAAGGAGAGGTTTGTATTGGGAACAAAGCTCTTTACTTAGCTTCATCTTAAATGAGATTCTCACAGTATGATAACCTTGTTTAAAAACACTATGAAATCACATTGGCACAAAAAATTAAAATGGTGATCCAACAGTTTTCATTTAAAATTAAAATGCAACAATTATTCCTACTTATTTTTATTTTAATACAGATATTTTAAGTTAAGATATGAACTAAAGATGCAGTTAACAATCCAATATTAGTCAATCAAGGTACAAGTTCTAGTAGAGCATGAAATGAGCTGCATAACACTTCCTTGGTTTATAGTTTTAAGTGTATTACCTTGATCACAATGATGGTGGCAATTCTTTATTTTCCCACAATATCAGAGTTACTCAAGGCCAGAAATGGACCTTCCCAGAATATCTAAATTGTTTTACTTTGGTAAGCAGATGTTGCCTTCTTTTAGGAGATCGACAGGGATTTTTCTTTGCTCCATGCTGCTGGAGAAAATACTGGTCACTGACACTTTCTGCCTTCCCATGGAAATAAGTTTAAACCACAAGAATATTGGGAAATCATAATGTACGTAGTACCAGTAACAGGCCGTGACGGTTTTTTAACTGGAAAATCATTCACATAAAAATGCTTTGATAAACTTAATAGGAGGATTCCAATGTAGCGTATGACATTTGCTCCCACATTTTCACCCAATGGGCTACATGATCTTTTTCAATATTTTCTGTCCCATCTGCGGAAGTCCAGAAGACTAGATAAGATATTCATGGATCATCAAAAATGATGTTGTTAGGGTAATAACATTTGATTTACTTTATTCAAATTAAAAGGTTTTAGCCACTATCAGAATAAAACATTTATCCTATCAAAGTGAAATGTTTTGTGCTCATTTATTTAAATTGTTTTGTACAGGCATATAAACTGACTATGTCCCTTCAACCTGAAATAATGGGAGAATATCTGATGATTTCTGTTTTAGCAGCCTCTGGCTCCTAAACAACCTGGCAGGGTTTTTGTTTGTTTTTTGTTTCATTCATGTTTGCCCAGTGATGAGAATAAGGCGAATATGAGCTCATTGAACGAGACTTGGGTTCTTCTTGCCTTTACTGGCAGGTAATCTTGGCAGTGCAGAGGAGGATTTCTGCTCTGCTGTAAGGGCCTGCCGACAGAGACCTAGCACAGCCAAAATTATTCCTCTACAGTTACTGTGGAGTAATTGCTTGGGCTGATGCTGACAGCGTGTGTGTGTGTGTGTTGTTTGTATGTGTGCAGAAGGCAAAAAAGTTTACCCAGCTCTCTTTGCCGTTCTGTGAGCCATGACTGTCGTCTTTGGTAATCTGAGGGCAAACTTTTGTATCCTTTTTTCATTGCTGTAGAAAAATAAGTGCTTTTAAAACAAATGAACAGCTTTATTTACATCTGTTTTTCAGAGCCACACAATGCGAGTTGCTGTGTGCGAGGTCCTGGGAGAAATCCTTGTACGAGTCCTATGTGGAGATGGGCTGGATGAGTCTGGCAGAGCCGACCGCGACCGCTTCTTTGACATATTGCAGGAGCATCTTCATGACGTCCACTCCCACGTCAGAGCACGTGTGCTCCAAGTCTTCACTCGAATTGTCAACAGCAAAGTACGCCTCTTTTTATATATTCCTTTAAGAGCTTGAAAGCATGATTGTGAAAATGATTACAATCTTGCTGTTCAACAAGGCTTCATGTTCGGTCTCCCCTTTTTCATTTTTTCCTTGCATGCTCTACTTTTGGTTGACATTAATTTTCTAACTTTAGCTTTGCTAACCTTACGCTGCCACCTTTGGATTATCTAACACTGTTTTTAAATTATATTTTAGATATTAATTATTTTATGGCAGATAGTTTTCTAGAGCTCAACTAGAAAAGACCCTGAAACATTATGAGAAGAAGATGACTAATAAAAGCATTTATTTTTTTATCCAGGCCCTGCCTCTGTGCCGGTACAGTGAGGTTATGGAGCTTGCTGTGGGGAGGTTAATGGACAAATCTATAAATGCAGTGAAGAGCGCCATCCAGCTGTTGGCAGCATTTATTGCACACAATCCCTACAGCTGCAAGGTAATATAGGCTAGTAGGATTTAGACTCGATGGAGGTGATTTCAATTCTTACAATAGCACAAAGCTTTTTTCCCCCTTTCTTCCAGCTGAGCAGTGCAGATCTGAAGAAACCACTGGAAAAAGAAACGGCAAAACTCAGAGAAATGAAAGAGAAACTGGAGGGAAAAGCACCTGGTAATCAAAGCCTCTGTGATTTTTCTTCAATTGCCTCTGCTGCTGTTAGATTTCTTTCATCATACATTTATTTTGTGCCCAGTGATGAAACCAAGGCGAATGTGAGTTCACTGAACGATGGTTGGCTTCTTATAGCCTTTGAATGGCAGGTAATCTTGGTAGTGCAGAGGAGGTTTTCTGCTCTGCTGTAAGGGCCTGCCGACAGTCTTGGCTCAATCCAAATTATTCCTTTAGAGTCACATTGGAGTAATCTCAGGAATAGAGCCTACATTGTGTGTGGGTGTGCTTCTGATGCAAGAACCCCATTTTGGTCCTTCTGCCGTTCACTGAGCCATGAGCTGTTTCTTTGAAAATCTGAGGGCTAATTCAGATTTCCTTAAAGTCAGCCCCCAATGAATGCTGAACAGACAAAATTCCAGTATTTTAACTCACTTAATAAGTTTTCTTTCCCCCAGAATTGCATTGGCTTTCCCCCAGAATTGCATTTCAAGATAAAAATAATAAATTAACTTTCACTCAATGCTGCTGTCTGACTCGAGATGTTGTAATTTTCATTTGACAGCTTAACATAAATACTTCAAATAACTAATTATAGACCACCAGTCTGCTTTGTTGCTCTTCTTAATCTTTCAACACATTGGCTTCTATTTTATTTTATTTTTTAGCTTTTACATGACTAGCTGTCAGTGAGTTATGCTAAATTTATGTATATATTCCCTTGCGTCTATGTAGTCCCAGTGATTAAGGCGTCTGAGCTGTGGGCTGCCATGGAGCCCGAGCTCCTTGTTGCTGTCAGGACAACCCTGGAGCCCACAAGTGAAGAAGAGGATGAGGAAGATGGTGATGTGGAGGAGGAAAAACCAGAGGATGATGACAGAGCAACTGCAGTGAAGATAGCTCAGTATCTCAGAGTCAACAAATACAGGTGATGTTAATCACCTGTCAAATGTGACTTTTAGTGTCATCGCTAAAGGATCAGCTCTGCACAATCCTATTTCAACATGTTTGCGTATCTCTCTGCAGGAATGCTGTCAAGCTTTGCCTAAAAGCTCATGATTGCTTCCCAGAATCAGAGCTGTTTGCCTCTCTGTCTGCAATCACCCCTGAACACTTGATGGACACACTAGGTTTAATTTTCAAAGGTAATAAGGTTACTAAGTAATGGTTACCCTGGAAATGTTCACATATTGACACTAGCTTTTGATCTTGGGTGAAGTTGAAGTATCTGCTGATGGCTTTTTTTTTTTGATAACTTTTTGTTCAGCATATCCATAAATCTTGTACAGACTCTTAGCATGATGCTGCCAAGGTTAAACAGTATAGAATACTTAATTTTGAAAGCCTCATGTTGACTCTACCAAATATACTATTGGTCCATCTTGCTAAATCTTGCATGTTGCTTCTTAAAATAAAACACTCAGCTTCTCCATGGAGACTGCTGCAAATATCTGTCAACCGTGACGATTTTAAACTAAGAGCTATTTTTTATCGTTTGTGCAGTTTTTTGGTCGTCCTTTGTGTAGCATGTAAGATGATTAGGTATGTTAAAGTCCCGTAAGTGATGGGAGGGAAACGACTTTTGTAAATTCTACCAGTAACTTCAAAAGGATTAGGCATATATCCATCTAGAAAACTGCTGAAAATAACTTTAATCCTATGGACCCTAGACTTTCTTATTAAAGTTTATTTGATAATTTAGCTGTGATTTTCACCCTGAAAGTGGCTTTTATGGATCTTTAAAGGCTCTTAAGTAAAATGTCTTAATGCTAATATATTTCTAAACGGATCACAAGTCTATATAATTATCTTTTCCTCATAGTGTTGAGATAAACATTTTAGTGTCACTTTCTCACTTACCAGGCCATATTTTATTAGCCTACATGACAGTATAATTTGCCGCAAGCCTCAGTCAGAGCCACACTTCTCTTCACACTTCACGCACCAACAGCTAATTTAATCTCAAAAAATACAAAGTTGTTCAAATTGACTCAAGTGTTTTTGATGATGCCTCAAATTACACATCAGAAAAGTGTTGATGGTGTGACGGTTCAATTACAAGGTCTCATTTATGTGGCCATAAACCTATTTTCTATGTAGCTATTGAGTAAAGTTAATGTCTTTTTCTTTTTACTGTAAAAAATCTAATTTTAAAAAGACTCCATCTATATGAAGATTTATCAGAGCTAGTCTGTTACACAATTAAGACGTGTTCACCCTTCACTTATGCTCCACTTAATCAAAACCTGAATGTATCTCCACTTAAAGTCAATTTGAGATATAATTTCCTGGTGATTTTATGATGATGGCAAATAAATTACTAAGTTTGTTTTGCTCCAAAATGCCCTATAATAATTTGCTGTTCAGATATGATTTGAAAAGGTAACCTTACTGTATGGTTATAGCTTCAGAATCTGCTCAGTTTGAATAAGGTTTTGTATTGAGCTTACACGGTTTGCTCATCGGTTAATTTACCTCTGGTTTTTGCCCCAAAGGTTCGGAAGATGCTACAGAAGTCAGCCAGAATTTACCACCAACCCCACAAAAAGAAGGAGATAAAGAGGGGGAAGAAGGGGAGCTGAAGAAGCAAGAAATGCTGGTGCAGTACTTGAAAGATACGGAAACGTTTTCTTTGCAAGTGGAAAGAGCAATATCAGTCATCAACAACATGCTGTACTGGAAAACCACTTCAGGTAGAAATGCATAACTTGGACATGTCATTTTAGCTTGGTGTAGACTCTGTTTACATAAAGTCTAATCATCAAATTTTTTTTCTTCCCTATATTTGTTTTTGTTTGAAGTCGTCCAAGAGGCAGTGCAGTTTTGTGTTACAGTCCATGAGTTCAGTGTTGCCAACTCTATCGGTGGAGTGAGGAAGATGTTGCCTTTGGTGTGGTCAATGGATGCTGCCATTAAAGATGCTGTCGTCCAGGCCTACAAGCGTCTGTATCTCAACCCACAAGGAGACACAATAAGGTATGTAGTTCACCTGATTTATTTATAATTCTGTTCAAAAGGTTTGATTCAAAATATACACATAGTATATTTTCTCAACAGAAGTTGATTTTAGGGATACCTCTTTAGACTTTGCAGATCTTTGTTGTTCTTTCACATCTGCTTTCATGGTTTTACTTTTTTTTTCTTTGGTCCAGATTTTGAACTATAAAATAGTATGCACCTTAAAAAAATCTGCATTGCTTTTTCCTTTTTAGGTTTAATATGGGTTTTCTCAAATTCAGCTGAAAGCATTTGAACAAATTGTACCTCTGTAATGTTTGGCTTGTAACTTGGTATGTCATACTCTTGTTTAAAATAAGTTATTTTATTGTATTGTAAATCCCTTTATTGGTATCTGCATTTAACCCATCCCCTTGGGGAGCAGTGGGCTGCCATTGTGTGGCCCTGGGGAGTAGTGTGGGTAGTAGTTTTGCTCAGGAACACAAAGGCTGTGGTGATCGAACCGGGCGCTCTAACCCACTAGGCCAATGAGCTCCCCTCATTGTTGTATCACTTTTCAACTCAATCCATCTTTATTCAGCAGTATTCAAATAATAAAATGACTGTTATACAAGTAAAATGGTAATAAAAATTACAGTGAAGCTTGATGTGCATATTTATGCCAAATTGAGATATAGTTGGGTGCTTTAAAAAATGTCTGAAAGTCAGTATGACAGCAGAAAAGTCCAAACTAAAAGGAACAGTAAGGAATTTAAAAGATTAGTAGATGCAAAGAACCAGATTACAGTGCCTTGCAAAAGTATTTGCCCCCTTGAACTTAAAGACCCTTGGCCACATTTCATGCTTCAAACATAAAAATATAAAATTGTAATTGTCGAGAATCAACAAGTAAGATACAATCATTTAGTGGAACAAAATATATTGGACATTTTACCCTTTTTTTTTTATTATCAAACTGAAAAGAATTGGGTCTGCAAAATTAATCAGCCCCCTTGAGTTAATACGTTGTAGTTCCACCTTGTGCTGCGATTACAGCTGGAACTTGGGCTGTGCCTCTATCAGTTTTGCACATTAAGAGACTGACAATTTTGCCCATTCTTCCTTGGAAAACAGCTGTAGCTCAGTGAGGTTGGATGAGAGCGTTTGTTGCTTTTCAGACTCTCGATTGGACTCAGGTTTGGGCTTTGACTTGGCTATTCTAACACTAGGATATGTTTATTTGCAAACCATTCCATTGTAGATTTAGCTTTATGTTTTTTAACATTGTCTTTACGGAATATAATTCTCTGTCCCAGTCTCAGATTTTTTTTTTTTGCATACTCCAACAGCATTTACTTCCACAAAGCTCCTGTATTTGGCTCCATCCATCTTCACATCAGTTTTAACCATCTTCCCTGTCCCTGCTGCCACCACCCTGTCTGGCAGTGGGAATGCTGTGTTGCTTTTATGCCAAAAATAACGTTTTGCATTGTTGCCAAAAAATTCGATTTTTGGTTTCATCTGACCAGAGCACCTGCTTCCACATGTTCTGTGTCTCCCAGGAGATTTGTGGAAAACTTGGATATCTGTAAGAAATATCTATCTTCCATAAAGGTCAGATTTGTGGAGTATACCAATGATTGTTGTCCTATGAACAGAGTGTCCCACCTCAGCTGTAAATCTCTGCATTTCATCGAGAGGGATCATGGGCCTCTTTGCTGCATCTCTGATAATTCTTCTTGTGGTTTGAGCTGAAAGTTTAAATGGATGTCCGGTTCTTTGTAGATTTGCAGTGGTCTGATACTCTTTACATTTCAATATTATAATATGCAATAATATTATATCTTGCACAGAGCTCCTTGGAATGTTTAAAGGTTGGGAAATCTTTTTGTATCCAAATCCGGTCAAATCAGGTGTATTCTATTTATATTCATCAGTCATTTAGGACAACATTGGATCAATCAGAGATCCTGATTGAACTTCTGGATAGAGATTGCTGCACTGAAAATAAAGGTTCTTATTCATTTTGGACGCCCAACTCTCCAGTATTTTATTTATCACACAAATGTCATTGCACTTCATGATTGTGTCCTACTTGTTTTGAATCTTCAGAAAAAATTACAATTTTTTATCTTTATGTTTGAAGCCTGAAATATGGCAAAAGGTGTAAAAGTTCCTGGAGCCCCAATGCACATGCAAGGCACTTTAATCTGGCTTTACAAAGATATCACAATTAAACATTTGAATATTGTTGTATCCATTTTTAATCCTGTTGAGATATATCCCATGTGCTTCATATACCAATTAGCCTTTTCTATTTGGTATTTAGCTTTAACTCCGGTTTGCTTGGGTATTTCTAATAAGGATTACAGTAGCATTTTTCTCTGTTGGTCCCTGCTGGTTTCTACTTTAAGCAGAGCGTTATCCTTCATTGAAAGCAAGAGCAGCATGAAATTGCAACATTATGATGGCTGATGAATATTATGTTGCTTTCATACAAAAAGCCTTGGTTTTGTTTATTCTTTTAAGTAAAAAGTCCTGTCTGATCGTTTCAACAGAATGAAGGCCCAGACCCTTGTCGACAGTCTCTCTGAGCTGATAGTGGATGCATCTTTGGGTACCATCCAGTGTCTGGAGGAAATTGTGAGTAATTATTGGATTAAATGCCAGAAGGAAAAAAAAAAAACAAATATTTTGCATGATGATGTAAAATATCTAAAGATATGTTCATCTAGGATATAAAAACCTATATGGATCTATATTTGTGCTCTATGTCTCTGTAGGTGCAGGAGTTCTTTGGCAGTGACAGCAATCTCCAGTCCACCGTTATTCAGGTGTTATGGGAAAGATTTACTGGCAAAAGAGAAACCTCTGTGATCCAGAAGCGAGCTGCAGTGTTACTGCTGGGCATGGCAGCACGGTAAATTAAAAGCACTTTTAATCTCTTCTACCTTATTTTTTTTTGTTGTTGGAAGGAGAATTAAAAGTGCAGTTTTAATAATATTTTGCTTTGATATAAGAGGTTGTAATAACAAGTATTATAATAGGAGGGTTACATTTAATCAAATCTGTTTAGTGTGCTAAAAAATAAAGCGAATTCCCTGCACAGTGCATTTTATGTAAAAAAAAGATATTTAAAATGAACACAGTGCTCAAGGTTTTATTTTGATAATAATTCCCTTTGCTGCGAAGAAAATTGAAAGCAAAAATGCAAAGCTTGTAAGCAAACACTGACTTGCAGAGTATAGTTCAAGTTTGATTTGGAGATTGTAATGATTGCAGGTATTGTGGGAAAATCATCACACAAGAAGTTCTGCTGAAGCTGAAGTCTTGACTGGAGCCCTATTGCTTGTTTCTACAATTCGTGTGTGGTCGTGGTTTCTGCTCACTGATTTATCCTGAACGTGTGTGTCTGATAAACCTAAGCTTTCTGCAAATTTTTAAATAAAATGAAATGCCGAGAATATTATTTGTACCAGAATGAAAGCTTACAGGATCAGTATGTCAAAGAAAAAAATTAGGGTTTCCATTTCAGTAGCTCTTTAACTCAAATGTCAACTGTATCTTTAGATGACATTTTATCTGTTTGAATACCAGGCAATCATTTCCAGTGGTCTTGCATTTGACATGTTTAAATGTTGGGTGGAGGGAATAATGGGATAAGCAGGTTTGTGGTGAAATTACATGTAAAATCACGTTATTCCTGCTTGAATAACAGCACCCCTCTTTACATTTCAGTCCTGCCTCAGCTACTTGACATTCTGGAAATCCTCGTTAGTCAGAACAGAAGCCCAGCCTCTGGTCCTCTTCATTGTAATTGAAGTCACGACCACAAAACTAGGCTTTTTGCCAGGGCTTTTTTTTTTCATATATCTTTATGCATGTAAAATATAATTCTTTCCCTGTTCCATCTACCTCCAAGATTACTGTTGCTTTGGGGAAGAGTGAGCGAGAAAGTGAGAGAGTAGAGTATTTGCAGTCCACCCACACTGCCTCTTCTCCTCATTCTGTATCAGCAGCATTTCTAACCTATTAAACCTTCTGTGCTTCTTCTAACCCATCCTCCTACATGTCATATTTGGGCCCAGCCCAGAACTGGCAAAACCAGCACAGTAGCTGGGGTCAGGTTGGGCAATGTTGTCTGACTTTGCATAAATGTGTTGTTCTGAAATGCTTTTTTAATTATATCTATGCTTTGTATGAATCTCCATCAGGGCAGAGAGAGAAGTGGTGCTCAGTAACTTAGACACTCTTTGTTCTGTGGCTTTGGGAGAAAAAGTGACTGAAGACTTTCTTCTTGCAAGAGACACAGTGATCATGATTTGCAGCATTACTGATCATGTCAGGGTAAGTCTTTGTAAACCATTTCTGGCCGTAGACAATAATCTCAACACTTAAATGTCATCTTTTGACTATACCCCCCTTCCAAAGGAGCATTTCAAAGCAAATCTAAAGCTTTACTACGAGAACCATAAGTGTTAATCCTCTTTTCTAATTCTCCTGTTGTTGTTGTTTTTTTTATTTATTTATTTCCTGTAATGGACAAGCTCAATGTTTGACTTAATTGAAAACTGGAGGAGAGATTATCCATGGTTTTAACAGTTAAATGGATAATAAAATGTAGAAAGCATTTATATTTGATGCAACAACGCAATGAAGTGTTTGAAATTAGTCTGGACAAAAAAATAAAATTTGCCATCACTCTTTAAAAAAAGTTTTTTCTTTTTTTTTTTTTTTTCTTTTTTTTTTTTTCATTTTAATAGATATTGACTTTTTTTTTTCCACTGCTTTTATGATTTATAGGTTTGGACTTTTTACTGTCTAATAACAATTTTTAAAGGGTTAAATTCATCCAGGCTGATTTTTGTTTGCAAAAATATTTTGGGAAACATTTTTCTACCACCTTAGAGTTTCGCACAACAATAAATAGCACTGATTTTGTTCTATTACCTTGATACACTTTGAAAAAGTGTGATTTAGATTTAATTTTAAAGATAATCTTTAGGTCCAGTTTTTGGCTTCATAAACCAATAAATGCTCAAGTCAGTCATGTTATTGCTTTGTTTTCTGTCCTTTAGCAATCAAAAGGAGCTCCATTCAGACTCCCCCAGGACCACCAGCTGTTCACCTCCCTGACACGAGCTGTTGCTGAGGGTAAGAAATGTGCCCTTGGTTTAGTCTTTTAGCTCTACTTCTCATCACTTTTTCTTTTTCTAATCTTTCTGTCTTCACTATATTTTCTCAAGGTGTGGTGATGGAAGACCCATACTGGCAGAGTTTTATGGAACAGGCCGTCCGTCTCATCTACTTCCTGGCTGAATCCCCAGACCAGCTGTGCTCCAGACTCCTCCAGAGAAGCGCTCGACTCTTGCTTGATCAGATTGCTGAAGGCAGCGAAACCAACAAAGACGTTTGCCAAATCCCTGATGGATCTCAAGATTCCAGTGACCAAGAGGAGCAAGGTTAGTCCTGTTGAATTAGTTAAAAGTATTGGCATAAATGAATGTCTGAAAAATGCTGCAATACGTGTGTGCGTGCGCACTTTGTCAGTGCAGTCTCTATCACACATGGCCACATGGGTTTTCTCCCCTGCAGTGAACTGTGTGTGTCTGGCCCAGCTGCTGTCTCTCTGTGGATGCGTCGCTTTTTGGCAGGTGTCTCATCTTGAGCGTAGTGTGAGCGCTGAGCTGCGGAGGAGGAGAGGAGAGACCGAAGAGAGGGAGGAAAAGGAGAAAGGATCAGGCAGTAAAGCTAAGGTAATGAGCTCCTGTACAGGTGTTCAGCACCTGATGATGGAGCTCTTGGGGAAATAGGGACAACCAGACTAATTATGTTTCAGGACAAACTGCTCTCTGCCATGTTGTAAGGGTTGATGTATGCAAGTATCTTGTAATTTGTAATTAGTGTCATACCAGTTCTTTTATTGTTTTTGGTGGATTGTTTCCAATAAGATATATTTGGGTCACTAGTGGCCTTAATTTTGAAGTGAGCTGACCCAGCTCCTCTACAACCCCCAATAAAATATTTAAATTAATTCAAACACTTCACACCTCCCCTTTAATATTTGCTGCTTTTTAATTTCTTACATGGTAAATTTACTATCTGGGGAGTAGATTTGCACCTTGGCAACATACAACACTCTCAAAAGGTCTGAAGCAGCATGCTAAAATATCTTAGTTGATAAAGTCATACTTAAAGGTGCTAAAAAAAATCTGAATCGTAATGGTGGCCTATTTATTTATTTTTTTGTATGTTTATAAGTGTGCTCTTTTTCAAACCTGAGAAGCTATCTTTAATGAATTAATATGATTCATGGCAGAGTGCTACCGTTAGCAAACTTTACTTTCTTAACGCCCAGCTCTATTCCACCAAAAGGCGTATCCCAACAATCAGGGTCTCGCCTCCTTTGTGGTCAGTTCTTTTACCTATTGTGTAAAAGACCAAGAGAGTATGGTAAATAAATAATAGCAAACTGATAATGTTACAAGCTCTACATGAACATGAATTTAAAGACATTTTCTGAAGGATTTTATATGTAAAATACAAGGTTAAAACACCTTTTTTTTTTTTTTGGATAGGTCCTAAACTAAATACTCTCAAGGTCCTGTATATAACTATATTTCTGCTATATCCATCTATTTACATGGCACATTAAAAACAAGAACTTTAAATAAATGTATTTTTGTCTACTTATTACTGCAGCCATTAGTAAACTTGCTTCAGAAAAGTAAAGTTGGGTTAAAACTAGTTAAATTATTTGAGCTGACGTAGAAGACAATGATGAGCTTTAGCACCATAAAGCTTTATAAGTTAAGCATATCTGGTAATGTTCAGAAGACATGAATGTTTATCTACCTGTAAATTAGAATCCCACCTTATGAGTTTTTGTAACTTGATCCAAGTCACAAAAATAGGTCTTAGCTTATAGTTATTATGAAAGAGTCATTATTGCAGGGACCTTTTTGTTTTATAGATATATTTGTTTTGTTTAACTGAAAAAATCATCATAATATAGTTTAATAGATTGGAAATAGTAATCAGGTAAAATATTTATACAACTGCAGTTTATGGACTCCAAGCAGGGCTCCGTTTCACGAAGCGGGTTTACTGAACCTGAAATCAGGGAAATTCTTGACGTTTCGCAAAGGGATTTTATTCAACTTCTGTCACTGTAGTAACATTCTCCCCTGACCTAACCTGGTCAAGAGCAAGTTTTGTTTAGTAAACTCGTATGAATTTGAAGGTATTCCTGATATATGAAACCATTTTTTTCCTTGTCAAAATAACCATTTCAAACAAAATTATATTCTTCCTATCGAGAATAAACATTCTTGATGTCTATAAATTAACTATAGATCTTGATATTCCTATTGTTACTGGTCAGCATTTGTATTATTTTGACTATTAAGAAAGTATATCAGATATAATAAATATATATTCAGCCAAGCTGATAAATATCCAAACCGCCATTTAAAATGTGTAAACATTTCTAGGTTTATATAAATTAATTCTTACCAGTATAATTTTGTATTTTTACTTGCTGAAAATTCAGTTTCTGCTGAACCGACCCCAGGAGTATAAACAATCTCTGAATGTTTTATATGGGAAAGGTGGATAAACTAGATCTCTACTGTCATTTTAAGTAATTATATATATTTTTAAAAAGTTATCTGAAACTCTTTCAAGCAGCTGTGTGGTGAGACATCTGCAGGGTAGCTTGATAATGAGATTCATTTTAGTGAGAGACAGATAAGGTACGGCTCATAATTTCTTTTTTTTTTAAGCTGATTTAAAGAAAGTTTGGTCGATTATCCCTTGATTTTGTTCTTTGATGTATCAAATCTCTGCTTTGACTTCTGTACTTTTTGGTTAATGGAAGCCTAAAGCTGAGATTAATGGTTCCAAGTTACCTTTTTGTCTAATTCAAGCTTTATGTATACCCAGGAGAATCCTGTTGGTATTAAAAAGACTATTTTAATCCTTTTTTTTTTAAGATTCTGTATAGTACGCATGTATTTTTTTTTCTCTTTGAAAACGAACAAATGGAATTGGTACCGGTATATGCGTTTAACCTTTGCAAGTCGTGATGAAACTGAACAATTGGGCACATGCATGAGACAATGAGCCTTTATCCATAGCAGTGGGCAGCCAGAAGAAAACAATTGAACAATTCACTGCCGAGGCTCTTTAGCGATGAATAGAAGACTGTTTAAGCTCTCATTTTATCAACAATATAATTATGCGAAGTTCTAAACTAAGATTTAAAAGAAAAACATGAGTAATCCACAATACAATTTTCAGCCACATGACTGGTAGTACGTAGCATTTCTATTTTCCAGTCAGAGAAAACTTAATTTATGGAATTATTTTATAAGTCCTAATGATGCGCCGGTGAAGATCCTCAGTCATCCAGGTCATAGTGATGCCCAAAAAAAAAATAAAAATAAATCCCCTGGCCTTTGGCTCCAAGTTCCAAACTTGTCCTAACGGTATATAGCATATAGCATACCGTATTTTCACGACTATAAGGCGCACTTAAACGTCTTTTTTTTCCCTCAAAATGTGCGGTGCGCCCTTTGGTGCGGTGCGCCTTATGTGTGTTGTAACTGCGACTTTTGAGACCACCTCATTGAGGAGATGGTGAAAGAGTGGCTGAATGTAAGGAGACCAGGTGTGTTTTTTTTCCACTCATCACCATCGCTGTTAATATGTGACTCCATGCGTGCCCATCTCACAGCTGATGTGAAAAACATGGGGAAACAAATTAACGCTGTGCTCGCTGTTCAACCGCTCGACATCGGTGTGAACCGGACCCAGCAGGTGCAGCAGAAGCAGCGAGTTTACATGCAAAGTCAATGGTTGACGCGCGTATAGGTGCAGCAAAAAGCGCGTTTTGAGCAGCAGCCGCAGCGCCTCGGGAGCGTTTAAGTATCTGACGCACCGCCAACGCGCTGCTGCTGCTCGAGATGGAAAAATTGAAGTTTTGCTGCTGGACGCGCCGCATCAACCAATCAGAGAAGCTGATCTGGGAGCTGACAGCGAGACAGACACAGCGCTCTGATGACATTAACGCAAATGAAAAAGGCTGGAGAGGATGAAAGGCAGGTGTATGTGAGGAGACCAGGTGCTTTTTTCCACGCATCACCATCGCTGCGTGCCCATCTCACAGCCGATGTGGAAAAAAAAGGTGAATCAAATGGATGCTGTGCTCGCCGTTATCCCGGGGGTCTGACAAAGGAGCTTCAACCGCTCGACATCGGTGTGAAGCGACCGTTCAAAGTAAGGCTGCGAGCGGCGTGGGAGCGATGGATGACAGACGGAGACCACAGTTTCAGGATAAGTGGAAGGCAGCGCTGGGCAAGTTACGCCACCGTTTGCGGATGGATTGTAGATGGACTAACGTGTCTGCTGGCTCTGTTGTTCAAGCTTTTGCAAAAGCCGGCATTATTTCTGAGGAGCTGCGCTGCACGGAAAGTGACTGACAGCGAAGAATGGGAAACTGGCATGTCTGATTTAGCGCAGCTGTTTTATTCAGAAACAGAGGAGGATGACTTTGATGGGTTTGATTAATACTTTGTAATAAATACATGAATAAAGCACAAACATACTCAGTTTTGCTCCCGCTCTATTTTTCTACCTGAAAACTTAATTCAACAGCAGCCTGTGGGCGGGTCTCCTCCTCTTCACCGTGGCGGCTGGCAGGTGTTTTTTCATCTAAATAATCTAAATCTTGCAGCTATATTTGCTGTGATCAGTGGGAATAAAGTAGTTTTAATATGTTTTTAAGTGAGAAAGGCCACCTGAAAACTTAATTGCAGTCAGTTCATCCAGATTATCTATTTCTGTCGGAGGCGCTCAGACCCCCACATACCAGCGGTGCACCGACAGCAGAAATCCATTCAACAGCAGCCTCACCGCGGTGGCTGGCAGGTGTTTTTCATCTAAATAATTTAAACTGCAGGCACCAGGATACCGGCAATAAAAGCGAACATATTCCGTCGGCAGGTTTCAGGATTTTAAGTTAATTTAGGAGTGATCACAGCGCTGTGTCATCTGCGATATGTCTGTCTCACGGCCAGCTCGCAGGTTTGATTAATACTTCGTAATAAATACATGAATAAAGCACAGTCATACTCAGTTTTGGGCCCGCTGTATTTTTAAAATACGCAGTAGAGGTATTTAAAGGTAGTAGAGGACATGTACCTGTATATAAAAAATGCGCCTTTTAGTACGGTGCGCCTTATGGTCATGAAAATACGGTATTACATAATTTTATTAGTGTAAATGATCAAATTGATACCAGTAGCTGGTGCAGCACTGGCCCTGATCTAAAGAAAAGGCTAAAGATTTTAAGTTTATCATTTTTACTGTCAGCATGAGCTTTATAAGCCTCTACCATTTTTATTTTCCTTAATTCAGCAGGCAGCCAATGAAAGTGCCATGGAAGAGGAGCTGGGTTTAATTGGTGCCTCTGCTGAAGACACTGAAGCAGAACTCATCAGAAAAATCTGTGAGACGGAATTATTGGCTGGTAAATTAAAAACTCCTCAGTGTTTGGTTTTTCTTGCCTTTTTTCTGCTTGCATGTTTCTAGCTGTTTACAGTAACTTCATATAACATAAAATGTTTCTTGATCTGTTTAGAGGAGAACCTCCTGAGTGCGTTCCTTCCTCTTCTGGTAAAAGTCTGCAGTTCCCCAGGGCGCTATTCCCACCCTCAGCTCAACACTGCTGCCTGCTTGGCACTGTCTCAGTACATGATGATCAGGTATAAAAGAGGCTAAATGAATATTCACTCATTTTTGCACCATTGTCTTAACCTTGTGAAGGAGGAATGCAATACTGAGGGTACAGTGATTCTGAAAAGCTGGTAATAAGTTAAACTTATCTTCAAATATCTATTTTGAAGACATTTAAATGGTTGATTATCATGACTGCTAAAGGAGAGAACTACCCTTGAAATGTGTTTTATTAATGTAGAAAAAGGCTTCCTTGCACCTTTATGAGGTCAAAGTACAGCTACATTTAACATTGGATGCTTTTTGGCATTTGAAACAGTCCCACTTGGCTGTACTTTCTTTCCTCCTGCTAACAGTCTGCTGCAGTTCAACTCTGAATTTTTAATGTCACGCTAAACTAACCTGGTTTTACTGAGATTGGAAAACAGGTTGCAATTCCATCCATTAACAAAACTGCTCAGATTGAGTAGGTGTACCCAGGGCCATAGCAGAACAAGGTAATTTTTAAAAGTTAGTCTTTAAAAATATTAACATTTTCTTAGAAGCAGAGTTCATGATTTTCATTCTGTAAGTCACATTGAACAAAAGTAACAGAAGTAAACCATTAAAATATGGGGTCATATCCAGATTAGTTAAATTTTAAAAAGATAAAATACTTATAGCTCAAATCATTGAGATATATCTGTACCTCTGTTGATATGTTCAGTGTTACTACTCTCTCCCACCATCATTTCAGCCCATCAGTGTGTGAAGACAACATCCGCCTCATGTTTACGGTGCTGGAGCGATCTACTCTTCCCGTCGTTCGCGCCAACACCATTGTAGCATTGGGAGACCTAACGGTCAGATTCCCAAATATTTTGGAGCCCTGGACACAAAATCTTTATGCAAGGTAGGCTTCTGTTTGGTATTCATCTTTATGCAACTGTCTTCGAAGCATTAAAAAAAATTATCTTTTTAAAAGTTTGTTTGATCAAAGATCACAAGAAAATGTTTCCACTATGGATGGGTCATTTGAGTGGGTGTGCAGTTTATTTATTATTATTTTTTTTATTCTTGCAGCCACCCACTACCACACATCCTTGTACGCACCGGCCTTTATCCGTATCCCATAAACACAGTATTCAATGTTTCTCTCAGCCATTGGACTGTTACCTCTGTCAGATTGCTCCATTGAGCCGAATGATTGGAAAAGTTAACTTTTTTTGTACAGATAGTAGCTTTGAGATTGTCTATATGTTGTCAAAAACTTTGTTGTAATATATGCTTATATGGTTGCCATAACAACTGGATATTCCGTAAGAGATAAAAAAAAAAAAGGGGGGGGGGATAAAAAAAAAATTATTACCAGGCAGGAGCCTGGGCAGAGCCTCAGGCCACATCAGGATCGGCCACTATAGGACAACAAACGGCTTAATTATTACTGTTGAAAATTGCGACTAGAGGCGATGACCAGTAGGTTGTAATTATATGGTGCAGCTGAACAAGCGAGCAGAAATAATTTTGGACGAAGTCACACATTCAAAGGTTTGTGTTTTGTACGTACCTTGCATTTAAAAAGCTCTTTACCAGCTGTCTTCTTCTTTTTTTATTTATTTCCACAGCTAACTGAGCCTGAAGTTGCTCTGTTTTATGAAGTGCAGTTTTAATTATGATGGTAGATGATGTTCACATTGGGGGAGTTGGGACATGAAGAACATTTTCTTTTATAATGCGTCACTGCCCTCATAGTGTTTTCCACAAGATAAGCATTTCATAGTATTCCTAATTGTCTCCCACACAGCAACACCTCCACCGCTCTTAAGGCTGCTGCCCTGGCGCCTCCTGATAAGCGCATTAAGAATTAATTACCCTGTTCATTTCAGTTGTAAGCCTCTGCATTGGCATGAGGAAGTGGCATGTACAAGTGTGTGATCCTCTGCCAGGAGTCCTGCTCTTTGGTGCAAATGAGAAATGGAAAATTAGTTGCTTTTGTTCTTTGGTTTTCTGGTGAGGCTAAGGCTGAACTGGTGTCAGACTCTCTCTCTCTCTCTCTCTCTCTCTCTCTCTGTCTCTCTCTCTGTCTCTCTCTCTCTGTCTGTCTCTCTGTCTCTCTCTCTGTCTCTCTCTCTCTCTGTCTGTCTCTCTGTCTGTCTCTCTCTCTGTCTCTCTCTCTCAGGGTCATTGGGTGGGTGGGGCGCCACACTTCATTGGTCGGCCGCCACTGGTCAGGTCTCAAAATAAAAATATGCAACTACTTGCTCTATATATTTTGGACTTTTATACAAAATAATTTTAGAGTTCTACCAAACACGGTCTTCCTTAAACGCAGTCCTGCACAATAGGCCATAAACAAGTGAGTTTATTTTATTATCTCCCGGGGGGAAAAAAATTGTTAAAGATGTGTGTTCAAGATCCACTAACTGCCAGTGTGCAAAAGCTTAAAAATTCCCTGTTTTGTACTGGTGTCCCAGATTACATAAATTAAAGTGATTTATGTCCATTTTATGTCTGTTAACAAATTTCTAAAATTGAATGTGGGCGGTTTTATCTTTGCAGCAGAACAACCTATAGTATAGACAGTACTTCTTTCTGTAGTTTCTTTTATTTTTTATTACTTTGTACATTTAAGACTTTCTGGTGCAGCTGAAACCAAGGTTATAGAATTTAAAGTTGAAAATGAAAGCCTTAAAGTTTCCCAATAAAAGAGGTTTAGGTTTTGTTGGTACTAGAACCCATAGGTAATATGTATGTAGTATGTATATAAACAAATTCTTTTGAAGAATAAGAGCATAAATATGCTAGCATTTGCTATAGTGCTCCAGATAAAAGCATCTTAAGCAGGAAAATTGAGTCTGTTGAAGGCTGTGTGTGTCCAATCAGATGTATCCTAAAGAACTTAATGCAGAAAGGAATGGAACAAAATATCTAATTTCCAAAAAAGACATTAGTGCAGTGTTCAGAAAAAATTTTTTTTTTTGTGCTTTACAGTTTTCAAGCATTTAGGTTAATCATACGGATATCCTTATCTGGAGAAAGAAATTACCTCGTTTGCCTTTTCTTTGAACCAAAAAGGTAAAGAACTCTCAGGTTATTAACTTGTCCCCCCCTCACCCCCACCCTTCCTCTACATCATGTTTCAGGTTGAGTGATGAGGTACCGTCTGTGAGACAGACAGCTGTGACTGTTCTTACTCAGTTGGTGCTTAAGGATGTGCTAAAGGTCAAAGGCCATGTCAGTGAGGTTGCTGTGCTTCTAATTGACCCAGAGCCGCACATTGCCAACCTTGCCCTGAACTTCTTCAATGAGCTGGCTACTAAGGTGAACACATAGAGACCGGCCTAGAATCTATTGTTCAAACGGAAGACTTTGAATAGTTTTAATGACTTTGTGTCCCCCATAAGGATAACGCCATCTACAACCTGCTGCCAGACATCATCAGTCGCCTGTCAGATCCAGAGAGAGGAATGAGCTCGGAGGACTTTAACACAATCATGAAGTAAGAGGAACAAAGTCTTTATCTGTTTGCGTCATTGCATAACCAAAGTTTTCATTCCTTTGTTTTCCCACATTGCAGGAACAAATTTTTATGTGAAAGAGCAAAATATAGAATGCCCTTATTTTGGCATTTTAATTTCTTCTCTTTTTAGTCAGTTTTAACAAAGAACCATTTCTTTTGTGGTCTGTCACCATAAATTCATAAACATGCAAAGGCTTTTTGTTATGTTCCAATAGATATGAATACTTATCCAAAACTCTGTCTACAGAATAGGATACTAAGCTATTATAATTCTGAGAGCTTTTGGTAGATGCAATGTAAGCTTTTAAAGGGGACTGTAAAGTTGTTTCGTTTTCTGGTATTTTCAGACAATTGTTCTCCTACATCACTAAAGAGAGGCAAACTGAGTCTTTGGTGGAGAAGCTCTGTCAGCGTTTCAGGACTGCAAAGTAAGTAAATTGTACCTCATTTTCCCACATTCTCCTCAAAAACCGCATGTTTTGTTTAACTTTTTTTTTTTTTTTTTTCTCTTACTAGTTTCACTCCTAATTTCCAAGCCTGTCTTGCAGTGTTTTATTGTGTGTGGCGTGGGGGTGGATGTGTTTGTAATTAGTGGGTGGATTTTTACTCTTAGAGTGACAATTAAATCAAGTTCACAGTTCGCTTCACCAGTTATGTACACTGACATCTTCCTAATCATTGCTTTTGTCATGGAAACAGACATGTGTGTAGTTGGAGAGAGTAGATGCAATGACTGGGCTGGCCAGGCTTTAGTCTCTGAGTCATATTTTATCCATACGCAGAGCTCAAAGGAAGGACACTGATATTATATAATGGAAAACTGAATTTAGACATAAGGTTCCTGGAAATGAGATTTGGTCCAAATGTCGGAGCAATGACATGTTTATCAGAAATGAGCTTTTTGTTGTTTTTTTTCTTTGTCAGTCAAGAATTACTGTGCATTATGTTGTTACTAATCGGGTTTAGTTTCTAATCCCTCAAACCCTCATTTCATGCTCTTGTCTCTGCAGAACAGAGCGTCAGTGGTGCGACGTGGCCACTTCCTTGTCCTTGCTCTCGATGTGCGAGCGGGGCTTTAAGAGGCTGCAGGAATGTTGGGAGTGTTACAGCGACAAGCTAACCGAACCTGGGGTCTACCAGCCTCTGCTCTCCATCACAGCCAAGCTTCGGCGTTGGGCTAAACTTCAGTTTAAGGTGTTTTCCTGTAATTTTTCTCCCCCATGAGAAGCGGGTTATCTTTATTCATGTGGTAATAACAAAAATCTTAATTAGGCCCAGATAGATGACTTTGAGAAGCGGCTGACAGCGGTTCACACTCGGGGCTTAGAGAATGTAGAAAGTCCTGAGATGGATGAGAACCAAAAGGAAGGAGGATCAGCTGAGAAGACCAGCACTCGTACACCTCTGCCCACCAAAGGCCGACAGAAATCAAGAAGAGGTTAGAATTCACTGCCTGATTCTGAAGCCTTATGAATGTTGTTATAAACATGTGTGTGTGTATATATACAATAACTGTCTTTGACTAAAGAACCGGTTGTTTATTTTTTTCTCAAGGTCAAACAAAGCCCTCGGTCTCCAGTCACAGTGATGACAGCTTTGCAACTCCTCGAAAATCCCGCAAGTCAAAGAAACCTGTAATCACATTCAGCAGTGATGAAGAAGAGGATGAGGAAGGTGAGACCAATAGGTTTTTATTTCTTTTCAGTATACATTTTAAAAATGATTTCTTTGATATCTCTTCAACTGCCATGTTTTGTAATCTGCATTTCAGTTTGAATTAATTTCTAGTTTCAGTCTAATAACAGTTTTACCACTAAACACCATAAAGGAAAAGGGAAAACAATACTTTACATCAAAAGAATCAGATACGGTGCTATTAAACCTTTTTTTTTTTTTTTTTTTTTTTCGATAAACAACTAATTCATTAATCTGATTTCTTGTGGCACCTAATTAACCAAGTTTCTGAGCTCAATTAATTACCTGACAAAGTTGTTTTGTTTACTGTTGATTTTAATTGGTACTGTGGATAATATTTGATTATAACAAGTTAGCAATATCCCTCAGATGCATAAAACTTGAGCCAAGGGCATCACGGTGTTCATCCAAAAAATACAAACTTGCAGACAGAGATCAGCTTGGCAATAAAATTGTATGTAATTATGATTCTACCTGTATTAATGCTAATAATTGAGATATATCGTAATTAAATTTCCTCTTACCAATCTTAAAAATGGACGTACAACTAGACTATTTAACAGCATCATTTTCATCTGAAATGATTAGAAGATGCTGCATTTCTTCTTTTAGTGTTTTTTTCTTAAATTCAGATTAAACACACTGACTGAAGAAATGACTGACCTCACTAATCCTGATCTTCCTGCAGATGCAGTAATGGCTGAGTGTGAGACCCCCAAAGTGACGACTCCCATCTCACGCACATCCCGTCGAGCTCGCATCCGAAACTGATTTCTTCTTTTTAATCCTTTTTTCTCTTCTATTTCACATCTTTGTAAATATTGATGTCCTTTTGCTTCCTCATAACTTTTAATGTCGTAAGATGCATCTTATATTTTAGAGCTGCTTTTTTAATAAACCTGCGGGTTATTTTACCTTTGAGGGTTCCTGTCTCACTTTTGTCTCTACACAGTACACAGGCTGATTTCTATAATGTGAACAATCAGTATTTTAGAGCTCAGTTTCAAAGTTGCAGAGAATTATCATCAAACTGCTATGTTGAGATGACAAAGTTAAAAAGTTTTCGCCAGCTTTTTAGAGTAACTCTGATTCTCTTCTTCCATGCTGTTGTGAATAACTGTTATATTAAATTCCCAGCCTGCAGGGAATTCATATTTTCTGATACTTTAAGATGTTTATTGCCCTCCCTGGTAGGGGTGGTAAATATCTTATTTAATCAGATATTTTTTGGGCTGTTATATATTGTTTATGAAGATGTGCCCTACTACTTGTGTGTTAGAACAATAAATGAAAGGTTGATTCGAGGTCAAATCATGGTCAAACAGTCAATTCTGCACATACATGGAATAAATTCACCACAACTTTTGTTCAAAATATAACAGTTTATTTTAAAAAAAAATAATTCAGCTCTAAGTCAAACATATTTCAGATAAAATCTCTTGACTAAAACTAGTGAAACTAAACTACTATGTACAAAGAGGAAGGGGAAACATGGTTGAAAGCCATATTATAGTTTAAGATGGATTTTGTGTTTGATAAAAGTTTATCTAAGAATGTGGGATGTGATCAAATTAGCTTTTGACAAATTTAGAGCGATTGGAATATTTAATCCAATTCAAAAAGCCTTTATTGTCATTATATTTTGCAACGGATACAATGAGATTAGGGACTTCCATATCAGCTACCGTGAAATAAATAAAAAAAATAAAAATATATTAAAAGGAAATGTAAACAGTACTGGCACAGATTGTGTGTTTGTGGGGGGGGGTAGTGCAAAACAGCTGTAAAGTGACCGACAGTGCAGGTCGGAGTTGAGGGGGGGCAATGGCTTGGGGAATAATGCAAACCAGGTGAAAAGTGTCCGTCAGTGCAGGTCGGAGTTGAGGGCGGCAATGGCTTGGGGGAAGAAACTGTTCTTGAGTCTGTTTGTCCTGATCCTCATTTGCCTGTAGCACCTTCCAGAGGGCAACAGGTCAAACAGGGTGGAGCCAGGGTGGGAGCTGTCCTTGGAGATGGCCCTGGCTCTGCTGAGGCACCGGGTGGAGTAAATGTCTGTCAGGGAGGGGAGAGGGCGACCGACCGATAATCCTCTGCACTGCCTTTATCACCCTCTGCAGCCTCTCCCTGTCGGCAGCGGTGGAGCTGCCGAACCATACTATGATGCAGTAGGTCAGCAAGCTCTCAACGGAGGAGCGGTAGAAGGCCAGCAGCAGATCGGAGTTGAGGTTATACCTTCTGAGGATTCTCAGGAAGTGTAACCTTTGCCGGGCCTTCTTGATGATGGTGGTGATGTTCTCTGACCAGGTGATGCGGTCAGAGATGTGGACGCTGAGGTATTTGACGCTGTGAACCCTCTCCACCTGCTCGCCGTTGATGAAGAGGGGAGCTGGCTCAGGGCTGTGCCTCCTGAAGTCTATGATGAGCTCGTTGGTTTTCTTGGTGTTCAGAGTCAGATTGTTCTCTGAGCACCAATCAGCCAGCTTCAGGACCTCCTCTCTGTAGGCGGCCTCGTCGCCCCTGGAGATGAGGCTGACCACAGCGGTATCGTCGGCGTACTTGATGATCCGGTTGTGGTTGTGGATCGGTCTACAATCGTGGGTGTAGAGGCAGAAGAGGAGGGGGCTTAGCACACAGCCCTGTGGGGAGCCGATGCTCAGCGTGCGGGTGGAGGAGAGGTGGGGGCCAACTCTCACAGCCTGGGGTCGGTCGGTCAGGAAGTTGTTAATCCAGGCACATGTGAGAGGGGGGAGTCCAAGGGAGCCCAGTTTGATGATGAGTCTGTCCGGGAGAATGGTGTTAAAGGCCGAGCTGCAATCCACAAAGAGCATCTGGACGTAGCTCTGCTGCTGCTCCAGGTGGTTCACAGCAGAGTGGAGAGCAACGGCGTCCTCTGTGGAACGGTTGGCCCGGTATGCAAACTGTTGGGGGTCCAGGTGTGGGGGGAGACAGTCCTTGATGTGCTGAAGAACCCGCTTCTCAAAGCACTTCATGATTACCGGAGTGAGGGCCACTGGGCGGTAATCATTCAGGCTGGTGATGGCAGACGTCTTCGGCACCGGGATGATGGTGGAGGTTTTCAGGCGGGACGGAACGGTGGCTTGGGCCAAGGACAGGTTGAAGAGCCTGGTGAAGGTGGGGGCGAGCTCGCCCGCGCATGCTTTTAGCACCTTGCCAGGGACTCCGTCTGGGCCTGGGGCCTTCCTGGGGTTCACTGCAAGGAGCACCTTCCTGATGTTGAGCTCCTGGACAGTGAGTGGGGGGGTGTCAGCGCTGGGTGGGGGAGGGGACAGGGGAGGGCCGCTGGGATTCTCCAAACTAAGCAAAGAAGCTGTTTAGCTCCTCTGACAGCTGTGCTCCCTGTTGTTCAGTTTGAACGACGCTGCCCCTGAAGTTGGTGATCTCCTGGATGCCCTGCCACACCTTACGGGTATTCTTACTGGACAGGTGGGACTCCAGCCGTTGTCTGTGGTCTGCTTTAGCCTCTTTGACCCCTCTCTTCAGCTCAGCTCTGGCAGCATTCCCAATGCAATGACATAAGGTGAATAAAACGTAAAACATTTGGCCAAATAATGTTTTATTAAATGATTTGCTTAATCAGGAACCAGTAACCTTTAGTTAAATTATGGTTTATCCTCTTTGAAATAGCTATCAGTGAATAGCTATGAGGATTCCATTAAATGACCTTTGGTCATACTTGGTAATCGAATTGTAATGAGCCCATGAGAAAACACATGAAAACTAATGTTATATCAGTGTTTAAACCCTTAGTGAAATAAAGCTTGTCCAAGCTTCAACAACAGCTCTAAGCATATTACTCTAGCATGGGATCCATCCTGTTAGCTTTGTCTTTACTCATCAGTAAACGCATGAAATGATCAAAAGCGTCAAAAGAGATTTGTTTGTTCTGTCCCTAATTGTGGGACCTGCAAACCTCTGTCCATGTCTGTCTGGAGGGTTTGAGTTTTCATCCAGCAACAGCTTAGCAGGGCAGGCTCACAGCAAAAGGCAGGGTTGCCCTTTGTTCCATGAGACTTGCACCAAGGGATCTTCAGAGACTTTCTCCTCTAGTCCAGCTCCGTAAGTTCTGAAACTCAAGAGAAATGCGTTTCAAAAACTCTGTTTTGCAGCAGTTCTAAAAAGTCAATCAGCATTACTTATCCTTAATCTTTCTGAAGATCTGGGCCTTTGGGCTTGGTGCTGTTTTTTTTTTTTTTTTTTTTTTTTTTTCTCTTCCGATGTGAACCCCCGGGCAGCTTCACGGAAAAAGATCTTGTGTTGTCGTCTTTTAGTGTTCTCAACACAGAGGGGGGTGGCAAGTCACACCTCCGGTAGGGGTCCTGTTGAGCCAGTTGGCTGAGAGGGGGTCGCAGATAAGAGAGAGGTCTCACAGCTGTTCCATGAGCAAAACTGCATCCTCCTCTCTGGTGATCATGCCAAGATGAAACATGGACATTGGTTCCCAATGTCCAAAACCATAATCGTGGTTTATGACATAATAATCCTTTCTATTTTGTTTCTAGTTTCTGTTTCAGTTAATATCATCTAAAAAAAAGTCTTGTTCTTTGTAGAATCACTGACGTTGCTTGAAGATGAGAAGCAATTGTTTCTGCTGAGGTGTTCAGGAAGTTCAATTTGCTTTGCAAGTGGTCCTCTGTTCATCTGCATGGCTGCTTCTGGGGATAGCCATGCAAAAACAAAGGGAACTAATTTCATAAGACAAGAGCCTGGTCAAATTTGTAAATCTCATAATGCACAGAATTAACATCAAATTGTAGCTCATGTTAGCTCTTATTCATGGAATACTGTGCTGAATCCAGACTGCCTTCTGTATCATTATGTGACAGACACATGGATGATGGTTATTCTGAGACTACAGTGAAGGGCTGAATCTCTAATAATAAATCCAAAATGTACACTGCTGCCTAAATGTACATGTTGCACAAAGTACACGTAAAAACCAGGGCGTTTTGTTCAACTGAGTGGGGCTGTTCCAACGGTAGCTCCTACGGTGGTGAATTGGACTGTTGGAAGGTCCTGTGCTAATTAACTTCTTTCAACCTACTTTCTTACATCCAGCACTGTGCTTTTCGAGTCTTCACAAGTTTGCTCTATTCTGAAGCAGCCACTGTCCTGGTTCTAGCCTCGAATGAGGGCAGGCAGCTCATTTCCTTTGTTTATCAGAGATGCTGAATGGGAAAAGTTAACTAGTTTAGGTTTATGATGAAATAATCAAGTCATTTTTTATGCTTTTATCTGTCAGGCTGCAGCCGAGTCTGTTGGTAAATCAAACTTAATCTGAGTAGTTTGAGCCCCAATATTTGGGTGGAGTTTGTTCCTATGCATCTGTGTTTAATTGAGTTCATTTCCTACAAAGGGTCAATTTATTACATTAGTGTAAAATTCTCCTACCAGCCTATCCCTACACTAAAGCAATCTAACTAGGCGTGTTCCAATTGCTGTTGTCACTACCAAAGCTCCATAAAGTTAGGAAAGGTAAGTTTATTTATAGCACATTTCAGTAGCAAGACAATTCAAAGGGCTGCACATTAACTAAACTTAAAACAATAAAAAAGTAGCTTACTTTGCAGTATAGTAGGAGAGAAAATTAAGAGTAATACAAAAGAATAAAGTGATACAATTATAAAAGTAATGAATATATTGACAAACCTGTCATAATAGTACTATTTTATATTATAATTTATTAATGTAAACTCTAAAGCCTGCTTTTAAGTCTAGGCATTCCTTGAATATTTCCAGGCAGGGGGCTATTTCCTGAAATCTGCTTCTATTACATTATCAGCGAGTAATCGCTCAGTGGTTAGTAAGCACTCTGTAAAACTTTCAGCTTTGGATAACCTGGGGATATCCCTCTTAAACTTTTTTGCATCTGGCCAGAGAGGGAGATGTTTTCCTGGAACA